TCTTGATGATGACGTATGACAATGTTGAGGATTCTGAAGGGCATTCTAGTATCCGTTGGACTGAAGATATGGCCTACGTTTGGAGAGACACTGTGGGCTTGCCGTTCGAAAAGCTGGCTGTCGGGGTGAGTTGTCGTTATGCGGAGCACCGCACTTTGCATATTTGAGTAAACACTCCCAACGGCACAATCGTTCCTTGTATAGTGACATAGGAAACACACGTCATTGCGAATACTTGATATTTATCAGAAGATATGGTACTAGTGAATGAAATGAGAACTATCGTCGTTATGATATGCTTTAAGACAAGCTTGGTTAAGAACAACCTGTGTCAATGTGCTCTGACACCACTCGCGTCAAATTTTGATGTGGTATTATTGATGATCGAAATAACACAGCAAAAGGACCGAGTCTGTTTTGCTATACATTGAGGCGATCTCTATATCAAAACGTGTGCTCCGCTATCGTTGTGGACGACAGCCAGTCAGATACCGTTATACGGCGAAACGAGAGAAAGGCAACAACTAGGATATCAGACACTTATCGAGCAAGGGGGAGATCCTTCTGGCAATGGTTACTTCAATGGTTTCTACTTCAACACTCCAGCGGTTATCAAACACAAAACTGAGTTTATATACAACAACTGCATCGGGGGAATAATGATCTATGCGCTCGAGCATGATTACTTCCCGACAGATGAACGTTCACTGATGCAGGTCTTCAACGCTACGATCAACTCTACGAGGCTGCCTGAAAAGTGCCCAATGGGACCATCTGACGCTACGAGAGGAACGCTTGGCTCCCTTGTTATCGCGGTGATTGGCCTGACTATATCAATTCTGATATGACTACTTTCTCTTCTGAGAGACCCTCATGATGACTATAGTTTTATGAGGATGGAGTAGCTTGACCGTCCATTGCATGCCAAATGAAGTGTTATTTCCTGTGCTACACGTTCGCGTGGTGCATCAGGCCTCGCATGTTGCGGTCGTTCTAATTGTTGTGTTCGTGCAGTTTTTCAATTGTATCCTGGTTTATAATAGTTATTACAGTATAATCTCCTTTGACAGAGAAGACAACTTCTGACCGCAGAAATTCGATGGGCGGCTCGCGGTGATTGCTCGCACACTATCAACTCTTGAGGCTCAACAGAAAAAATGCATACTAAGTTTGAGACGACCTTGAACACTCAAATATAGAGATTACACTATGAGAAATAATATCGAAGTAGATGGGGTGCAGAATTATGGCGCATCATCTAAGGCAGACATTGTCCGAGGGAAATGCACAGGACTCGTTATTCACCATCCCCAGTGTTGAGAGTCGGCATGCCTTCCTTATCTCCCATTGAGAGAACGCCGCACTAGAGGACATATAGGAAAAACTTACTTATCGATATAAGCAGTAGTAGGCTCACCTGGCGCTGGGGTGAGATATGCACGAACGACACGAAGCAATAGCCAAGGAGACAACTTACACAGAAACAACCACAACACTTCGTCATAGGGTGAAATGATAGTGTGTAAATGTGTGCTTTGGCTTATACCGACGTGCTTTATTCTGGTCCAGTATTCTTTTTGTGTGTTCTCGTCAGGACACGGCTTTAAGGTCTCGCGGTAGCTGATGCCATTATCACCAATCTGGCGTGTATAGGACTCAGTAAGCATCCTTAATGCGATGATACCAGGGCATCATGTGCGATAACATGAATCTAGACGCATTAACATAACGTTGTTCATCATTCTTATATAAGAGTCATCATAGAACTGTAAAAAAAGGGTATCTGACGATCTGGCTATGATAGTCAGCTCGTCAGCTACCCATGATAGCCAGGCTATCCCGTGGCGTAGCCTACGCCGCGAGGGCATAATCGAAAATAGAGTGACATCTTAGCGAAGTGAATCGAGGTGAGCCTACGCCTAGCAACGCCTCGAGGCGTTGCTAATGAGGATTGGGACGGGGCGTTGGTATTGCGACAAGTTGGTAGCATTCACCAATGAAGGGGAGAAGTACCGTTTACGGGTAGAGATCTACGAGAGGGCTTCACTGAGACGAGTTGTCCGAAATGTCGCTTCCCTCAGTCTGAGGGCTTCAGATGTGATGTCTGTCCGTATGAGAGTGACATAGAATTCATTCGATAACTCATAACACATTTATCCCCTAACAAATTTATTCACAACATAGATTGTTGTAGAAGTCTATAGCTTAGGTTGAGCGACTCGTGAGTGAATTATGCGGGAGGTGTTGCTGCTCGCAACTTCCAAAGTACACATCGCTTTCAAATGACGACATAAGTGATCAGCTCGGGACGAATAATGTGACTGCCTATGTGACTCTCATTACTGGTCTGAACACGACAAGGCAATCTTCAAGGAGCCAGGGAACTTCCAATCCTAAAAATAATATTCTATGGATCAACTCGGCGCATATGATGCATATCGAGGAACACTTCGCTCCGCTGTGCTCGAGAGGAGACGAATCCTGCATGAAATTGGCGGAATTCGAGATGCCTCTCTCACATGTTGCCCTACCGACTGGTATGACACCATATTGCATCAGCTGAGACAACGAAGGGGAAATCAGAATCGGCTCACCGACAAAAACACCGACTAAAACACATACTCCGACGAACGAAAGTGTGCTTGGCAATCATCAATTTGATGATCAATTTGATGACATCAAACAAAGTTCAAGACATAATGAAGGCATAGTATTTTAGCGTAGAGGTAACGATGGAATTTTTACATCGTGTGAATCACATGGGATTCGAACGTAATCTCCGAACACATACCCCGACGAGCGAAAGTGTGCTTGGCAATCATCAAACAAAGTTCAAGACATAATGAAGGCATAGTATTTTAGCGTAGAGGTAACGATGGAATTTTTACATCGTGTGAATCACATAGGATTCGAACGTAATCTCCGATATACTGCTAAGACGCCGTCGCCGACTCATCGCACTTTAACCGGACCAGCTTCCCAAATAGGCCAGCTCCATGGCCAGTCATGGCTGTAGACGAGGACATCAACCCATACGTGAAGGTTGAAGTGGGACTTGAATTTCCAAACATCATATTTTCGATCAACAGTGTTGCCGAAGATGTCCACAGATATACCGGCTCCGACAACTACCGCCGAAACCTCAATACCCAGCTTACCATATGCTTTGACGTCACCATTGGTCGAAGCCTTGACCGCAACTTGACCAGAGAGTGTGGCTCTCAACGCAGGGAAGATACCAACTTTGATTATGACCGCGACCGACATCGCTACTTTCCCTCCGTAAGTGCCATTCCCACCGCCGCCTCCACCCGTAAGACATACTTCAATGCGCAAGCCTGCGATGCCAATATCAGCAGCCCAAACCAAGGCGCATCCACCGGCTTCGAAAGCAAAGAGTAGGAACTCCGTCTCCGGCTGCTTCAAATGGACTGTGACATTGAAGTGAGCTCTATTTTCCGGATTGGTTTGGTCGGTATAAGCCATATATACGTCCAGGGCCAGTAGCGTGTCGTTAGAGACGTAACCAACATACAGGCAGTATTGACTAGCCGACTTGGTCAAACCATCCCTGCAAGCCGGTGGTAATTGGAACGTCTCCTTCTCCTGTAGAAGAGAGTGACTCTTGTACAGAAAGAACTCATATGCAGCTGTGCCATTGGGGAGGCGAAAATAATCGATCGGTGCTACTGACTTATCTCCACGAATATTAGTCTTGTTCGACCTCCAGTCGTGGCTCTTCCCGTCCGTGAAGAATAGACGAGCCTCTTCGTTAACCAACCGGGTCTTGATGAACTCAACGTCTAGTTGTGGCGCCTCTTCTTTTGCTGCTGCCTGATTGTAGTTCTGGACGATATCATACGCCGCGTGAATATCCTTCACGGCAACATTCAAAGTTAATGCACCGTCGAGCTCCTCCCAGTGAGTGACCTCGGACTCGAGATGGACTTTATCATTCTCGAAGGTGTTGATACCCAAGAGCTTCACCATCTGCTTCTGATCCTTGTCAAGATAGAGGACCCAAGCGTTAGTGATCACACCAGTCTGAGCGAGGGCAGTGAAGTTGAGACCCGATTTGGGATCAACACCTTCCACTCCACTTCTGACCCATTTGTTCAGCTTCTGTCCACCTTCATCTACCAAACCTTTATAGACCCAACCATCACCTTCGAGCGTACGATTGACACCGTGCTTGCGAGAATCATTTTTCCTGTTTCCCTGCTCTATAAGAAACGAGTGTCTATTGAAGAGTTGGGAGGTGCTGAAGTGCGTGTCGTTCTGGATCATGAGAAGATACAGGAACGGGTGATTCGGCGCTGCTTGAACTACCGCTTGACCGTCCTTGGCGATGAAGACGTCTTGATGGACGGTGAACGACTTGTTATCATCCAAACCAGGTAGGACAAGCCCCTGAGTCTCCATAGCCTTGGAGATGTGACATGGCACTGGGTTCCCCTTGATGTCCCTCAAGTCAAGATTGCAGAAATGTGTTGTCTTTATCTGCATACGAACGTTGCCCATCTTAAAGGCATATAGCTCATCATGTATCAACAGGAAGACGAGGAGGCTGTTCAACATCGAGATTATAAACTTCATAACTGTGAGAAATAAATTAGTTATACCATTCAAGTCGTCGCTCCATACCAAAGGCAGGCAAGGAGCCTTCAATAATTACTCGGAGGCCTCTGATCAGTTGTAAAATAGACGAATGGATTGAGTTCATCGTTGCGTCACTAGTCAGGCCCTACGCTCACGCATTGCGTAATACGTAGCTATCTGCGTGACACACGCAATTGGAAGGAAGCGTGCTATTGGCGTAAAGTCAATTGGATGGTCTTTTGGATGACGATAAGTGGGAGTACTCTAATGGCTGTGAGCAACGATTATGTGTCAGAGACTCTAATGAGCGCGTAGAAGAGTCTTTCCTATGTGGACTATCCTCACGGAAAACTCGGGCTTACTATCGCCGAAGAAGATAGAAAAAACCAAGCGGTGACGTACGACTTTGCCGCTTCGATCTTAAATTCGACTCTTCTTGACTCGAATCTGGTGGGAGCACGAATTCGGTGAATATATACATCGTAGCTCACCCCGATGTGCCGAGCAGGATGTTCAAATTTGGTTAATCTAATATCATCTAATGATATAATCATTGGCTGTTACGAGAAATTCAACCCCGCGTGCTACGAAGATACACTGCGAAACGTGTGAATCAGTTTTACGTGTAGTATTCACCTCTCATAGTGTGTAATGTGATCAGCAAGCATGGGCGACAACATGAATTTGTCTTATTCCCCATCATCTGCTTATTGCCCGCTGATCGCTGTCCCCCTCCTGAACCGGCCATGGGCGCTAGGCCTTTGCTCTTCTTCCACCGTGCCTGTCGTAGGAAATTCCTCTCATTGGAAGGAGGTAGCATCACGCGAGGTCCCCGTCAGTGGCGCTAGGGTGGCACATGAAAGGAAAAATAGAAAAAATTATTTCCTCCCAAAGAAAATTTGAAGTTTGAAGGGGAAATAAGGAAAATTAAAATTTTTTTCTTGGCCTGCTAGGTTTGGCGTCACTGTGACGCCGTCACAGTTACAGTGTGACGCCGCCACCTCTTTGTGCTCGACCTGATGCTGCTCGGCAGCTGCACCGTGCAGGTGTGCAGCCTGCACGTCTCGATATCAGACCATGCACGTCGAGCCTGAGCATACATCCCTGTGGGCCATCCCACATGTTTCGCTACTTCAGCCTCCAGTGGAGGCCCTCCACCCTTGGAGCTCTACTTGCTTTCTCGTGCAAATTACACAAGGGAAAACACAACAGTGACAATGCCCGTCTCAAGAGCGACAGTTGAATGTTCAGGTTCGACATACTCTCAGGATGAGCTGCTCAAGAATCACGATGCGCATTTAAAGTTTGACATGTTCTGAAAATTTCAGAATGAATTCAAGAATGAATTATTCAAGAATGACACTCCCGGACGAGGGTGACTGTCGGGAAAATGGACGAGTAGCAAGTTACTTGGATGATTTGTCCACCTGCACCTCGCTTCACGATGACGACTCCATCATGACTCATGATTCATGAGATAGGCGGTTGATTGGCCTTGGTCTTAGGACTCCTAAGTTAGGAGCCATGATAAACACAACAATGTAGCTTCCAGTAACTTAGTAAATACAGCAGTATATAGCAAGACTAAGTAGCTAGCTAAAGGTCAGGCTACGTATCAAGGATTGTGTGCAGGTGTCTCCGAAAAAGTCTACACGATGACACGTTTGACCATGAGATCAGCAAGCAGTCTCAGTTTGCCGTTGCTCTATTCCTTGTACTTCCCAAGGGTCTCGGATTGCCTGCTGCATCATTTTTAACCACGGAACCCTCGTCAGGGTCCGAATATCAAGCTGTCGAACATCGATGAAGGGTGCGTTGGAGCACTCATATTCACTGTCCGTCAAAGCTCAACGTATATTGTCACTCTTGAATTACATCACTGAATGTAAATGTCCGTGCCAATCTTCCCTTTGTAAGAGTCATTCCTAGATGTGCCATTTTCGCAACGTGCTAAATTTTAACTTCCTGTCTGTGCTTGTTCTGTTTCCCTCTCCAGATTCGTAGGTATAGCCTCTTAAACTCTCACTGAGAGTCCCTCAGAGTGCCATGATAGCACTTGTAGAAAGAACGCAAAGTTATCTCCGAGTACAGTCTCCTGCACAATAATTCGTTGACGTTCACTGGTGAATGGTCGTGGGCCCATGACGTGGACAGGCGTCCTACCATCTGCATGACTACTCCCACTGCTCTTCCGGGCCTACAGCGAGTTTCCTGGATTAGAGACACTACTGGAAAGTTCCAAGTTTAAACACGCATAATTTGATTGGGTTGAACGTGGTGGGGCGTCTGAGACTCTAGTATTACTAGACTAGTAAGATCACGGGAAGATTATCGGTTAAGCGCATTCTTAATAATATTAATGAATCATTGTGTGCTCTCGGCGATAGTGAGAGTAGTACTACCGTAGTACTACTCCCTTGTGAGAATATAGACTTCCCCCTGAATAAGCGAGCCGATGAGCTATCAGTGATGCCGTAATGTCGATGATATTACGACTCATTCAGGAGTAATACTCCTGGAGTATGGTTTCGATGATGTATTCGGTCCAACTATTACTGAGAGAGAACTTCGTAGTAATATCATACTAATGGAATGACATTAACCATATCCGTAATATGGTTGATGTCATCTCACCTTTTACAGGCGAAGTGACAATCACAGAGATGGTCATCTCAAGTCCCTGGTTGTACTACAACCTCGGGATCAGCAAGTTGATGACATCAACGGTATGTACTTGCTCAACAGATGGCGCCAACCCTCGAAGAGTTCTTGGGCTTCCTAGCGATCTCTCAAGAGAGGGAAGATCTTGGGAGTCAATATGGTGACAGCTTAGAATTCGAATTCGGTACTGAAGGTTCCGGACGATTGCGGAGATGGTCGGACTCTAGTGGTGAATTTGGTGATACCCTGCTATGCTGATAACGACGATATCTGCCCAAGGTTTGCTCGGTGCCTTAACGATCTGACAAAGGGGTTCAGTACGGTTTGTCGAGGGTGCTCTCAATGCCAGAAAGGTTTGATCAAGACGGTGTCCCATGAGAAAGGTGGTCATTTGGATGCCTCCGCGGGAGAAGTGTGGCGCCATTCGAGTCTTGATCTGACAGGCCTCTTCCCTAAGAGCTGACGGTCGGCTGCTCTAGCAGAGCAGCATCCCGCTATGTTATCCGTTCCATCATGGAACGGTCTAGCCGTTACGGCCAAGAGTCCGCCAGTCGCTACGAGACCAGTACTTCTGCTGAGGGGTCATCGCAATTCCATCACATGAATCATGTGACATGCTGTGGAGTCCACATTGTGACAATGTGGACTCCACATGTGGACCACAACATTCCCCTACGGTGGTCGTGATCCATCTGAATTACCGAGGTTACATCTGCATTCGCTGTGCCAAACCACGACATGCGATATCAATAGAGGCCATCGAGCGCGGTGGGGAAGGCAAGCCGCCACTACAAACACAGGCTGCTATCTAAAGAGTGTCTCAAAACGTCGTGAGCACTTTTGAGTACGCAGGACTTCGTGGTTGGTGAGTGGTTTCATAACTAATTCTGCACAAATACGACACTCATCATGGTCAGTAAGTGTGCGAGAAGTGAACCCCTCCCGAGGCGTATGAAGAAAGATATGAGCGTTGCAGACGCTCACGGTGTGGGGTCAATCAGACGACTATCCAAAATATCTTGAGACACGCTCAGCCCTAAGCTTTTTCGATACGATGTGACATCGTCGAAAAAGCTTAGCGAGTGAAGTGGGTAAATATATATATCGACAACGACCTTCTATTTTTCGGGGGAAGGTATTTCACAATGCTCAACGCGTACAACTCCCTTAGTTTTCCTAGGTGCTGTCTGTTGTTCGGTAACCGAACCTCAGTTGGTTGTTTTTTCAGCCCTCACATGGCAGACGCCCATTCTTTGTGACACTTATCGAATGTTGTTGCGCTCACTTAGCGTTGCTTTTCTCTGCTGTTGTTATCCGCTGTACCATTTTCGACTGTGCTATCGGCGAGAGCTCGTTGATCGAGGTTAGTGGGAAACTGTTAGTGGGGAAGACAGTGTCTATTACCTGGTGTTTCCATCGGACACTTTTCAATGACGACGATCATCACTTACAACTTGTAAGTTACAAGTTGTGAGTTACAACTTGTACAACATTGTCCTATAAGTCCGTAGACTAGTTAGCCAAAGTCTGGCTGCCAGACTTGTCTCGTGCTCATGACGTCTGTTGACGCTTCCAGCCGTTGGTATTTCTGCGGATTTGCTTTCGCTGGTGATGTCTGAGTTCACTCACCCATTTTGCCTAGTTCCAAAAAAGCGACTTTGCGTCAAGTCGCTTTGAGTTTGAGTCCATTGAATGATCGTGTTGACTTGCTTGAACATTTTGATGAACGACTACTGATTGATACTGAGCAAGGTGATGCTTCTATACGAAAAATACTCTGAAAGTTGGCTTTTCCTTGTGGCATCGTCAAAGGTCGATCTGTTCGATCCTGAGTACAGGTTCTTATTCGTCTTTCCTTCACAGAGTTAGGTCTGGCTAATAAAGCTCGTGTGGCTCTTCTCGATATCCAGGGATTCCTACAGTTACTATCACCATTACAGGACCGTCATGAGCGAGTGACACCTTGCCAGGTTGGATCGCTGACCATCTCTAGATTGGCTCGTCTGTGTTCGGCCTTATCCTATATGCAGATGCAGCATCTGAGATGCTGCCAGCTACTCTACTATTCTCGCTCATTTGGTGCAACTAAAAGATCAGTATATGAGTAACTATCAATATAATGATTATTCTATGATGTTATATCCTGGTACCTGATATAACCCGATTATACTATAATCCCCTTCACTGATTCTCTATGTATTAAACATATTATTCATATTGTCCGTAGGCAGTGCGAAGAGTCTAATATTAAACCACTGGTGTGGCTGCTTTTCGGAGTGTATTATGGTGTTCTCATCTAATTCCAATACACACGGTCTTCTAGTAACCCTACTGATGCACCTTCTCGCCAGCTTTGGTCAGCATGTGGAAAGTTTCTCAGACACTCTGTGTTTGCATAAGTATCTGTAGCTCGGTTGAATGAAGAAACAGAAAACTGGTCTTCCGGGAAGACTCTTCCCGATGTCGAGCCATGCCGTGGGGCAGCTGTCCGTGACAGACTGACCATAAGATCGAGCTCGTTATAGCAAGGCAGCGAAGCCAGAACAAAGAAGGAGTCCAACAGCATTGCAAGACTATGTAGAAAGAAACACGACAAGACGGGCATTCGCTGGTGTAGTCCTTTCACAGTACACTGTACTGAGTACAGTCTGTACTACAGTAACTGTAGTTATGGGGATGTGATAAGCCTGAAATGGTGTTGAAAAACACCTTGGAATATCACAGGCCTCGTTCTGAGCTTGTCAAGATGAGGCCGAGCTAGTCTCATCTACTGCACTCTCCCCGACTTCGCCTATTGAATTATCCTTCAGTCCCTCCTTTCTCACCGGAGATGATGCCGACACGGGCGAAAAACTCCGGTAGTCCGGACCATAGTCGTCCGTCGCGTACCAATCCCATGTGCTCCAGTCGTAGACTTCTTGCATAGATGGTGTCTCGTTGGTGGCTTGCACGTTACGAGGAGCTTTCTTGCAAGGAGTTTGACTCATTCCCGGGGAACTTGCAGTTGGGGCGCTGCTGGATTCCAGTCATTCCAATCTGTCCCCACGGCTATTTTTGATACAAAAGTCGAAAAAACCTTCTATCATGTAGAAAATGGGAAGGATGGGCCAGTGATTTCGGTTGAGGCGCTCTCTCGAAGACTGTTTATTACATGCCCTGAGTATCGCCAACAACATGCGAAAAACGCCATCTAGCCGTCGAAATGGCACGATCATGGCAGATCCGACCTCTCCCTAAGCAGTCCTTTTTGATAGAAAAACCGCAAGTTGCCCTACCAGTGATAAGTGTTCACAACACTCCACGAGCCAGTCTGTACCAACACCCGCTTCTCCGGAGGACCGAAGCTTGAAGCCAGGGCGGCAGCACAGAAGCAGTGACCACTAGCGCTGACCCTCGACCTCTAGTTGGCTCGGTGAGCCGTAAAACGCCCAGCTGTCCGCCTGCCGAAGACTGACCCAAGCGAGTAGAGCGGCGGCCAGCTGATGAAGTCTGACTGCTCAATACTTGCCCCGGCTCGCAGAATAAGACAGATTAAGACGATTTGTTGTTCTTTTGCTTTGTTCGATGAAGCCAGTTTCCACTAAAGACACTGGTCAGAGAAGGGCTATAGCCCTTGAGGAGGTGGCTCCACCCCTCTCTGCGAGACGAGCCTCTGGCTCGGGGATTACCCTCCCACTAAGGGGGGGGGTATCCGTCTCAGTGATGATGGAAATGTGGTATCGAAAGGACCACAGCAATTTAATCTTGATCAGGATTCCGAGGCCCAGGCTGCTGGCTCGCCAGCGCACAGCCTGGAGAATTGCTGGAATGGTACCATACCGCCGGCTGTTCTCGGTTCAGGTTCTCAGTTCGACTGGGCCTCGGAGGCCCCTTCCGAGAGTGAAGATATAACCATGGAGCAGCTGGAGCAAGATCTTCTCGACGACTCTCCTCCCAGGGCCTCCGCCGTCCCGCCGCTTCAGCGCGTTAGGAAGCCTCTGAAGTCCTGCCGTGGCGAGGGGCCTCAGGCCTTAGCGACCTGCGATGCCCGTAAGGCAAGGAAGGGCCCTGCCGCCGGCTCTCAGGTACGCCAAGCGGCTCGCGGCTCCAGGGCACGTCGATCGTCCGTTGGCACATCGCTCCAAGATGTCGAGCTTCAACCTACTTACGACCTTCCCGACGACTCTGAACCCTCCCCCCGAGACCACTCTACTGGTCCTCTACCTTCTCCACAAGGTCGGTGCTCCCCGCAAGGGAAGGGCGTGGGCCGGCCCCAGCGGCACTGGTGCAGATCATTGCGCTCTGCGCACCCTGATCGGAACCATGTCGCTGGGCCCCCAAGGGGCGGCCATTACGGCCCTATTAGACTCCATTGTGGTGCTGGTAGAGGCCGGCCTGACGGCTTCACCGGGCCCCCTTTCGGCCCCGGTAAGTCGTGCCCCTGCGGCATCTCAGGTACCGCAGGTGTCCGCTGATGGCTTTACGACCGCCACGAGACGGCGTCGGGGTCGCAAGGCGCAGAATGCTGCCCCACCCAGACCCGGCCCTCCGGGGCCATCTCAGATACCCCAGGCGACTCGTCGCCCGCAGCCTACTACTCAACAACGGCAGCAGCAGCAGCAACCCAGGCGCCAACCACCGGCCCCACGCCGCCAACCCCCGCGTCCTGCTCCACAGCAGCAACAGCGCCCTCCTGCCCCTCGCCGTCAACAGGCCCCCACCATCGGCAATCGCCGCAACCCTCACGTGGCAGCGGCGAAGAAGGCGGCGGCTGGCGGCGAGAAGCCCGTGATTATCATCCGGCCCTCGGGCCCGAACCCGCCAGCTCCTCTCTCCAAAGAGGAGTTTAGTAAGCTCAGGGTCTCTGCTCTTCAGGCACTTCCCGACCACGTGACAATCACCGGTATATTTCCGGTGGGGCGCTCGTCCCTCGGAATGTCGGTCAAAGACCGTGGGCATCTGCCCGCGGTTTTGGCCAACTTAGGTACAAAACTCCGTGGATATGAAGTGGCTCCCAAGCAGAGCAGGGCGCCTCGGGTGATCCTCTTCTCTCCAGCCGTATCCAAGGACGTCACAACCGTGGCCTTGGAACGGCAGTTGAAGGAGGAAAATGAGGGCCTGATCGGCCAAGGAGCGACGGGACCTGCCGTGCAAAACCTGCACTGGCGTGGCCCCAACCTGGTGATGGCTGTCTCCTCAGACTTTTTCAGGTCTTTGGAAGCCAGCGGGCAAAAGGTGAAACTAAATCGCCTTTTGACCCGCTGGCAGTTAGCGGCGGACTACACAGTCTGCTTCTACTGCAGCCGATTGGGCCACATCTCGGCCAGCTGCACCTCAAGGCAGCAAAACCTGCCCGAGTGTTGCACGAGATGCAGCGGCCCTCATGCCAGGTCCGCCTGCAGCTCGGCCCAAGAACGGTGCCGCAACTGCTGTGACTTCAATGAGGCCCAAGCCCGGGCTGGCCGCCCTCATCGCAGGGAGACCAACCATCAGGCCACCAGTCCGGGCTGCCCCTCCGTCGAGGCACACTGCCGACGGATGGCGGCAAGGACCAACTACGGCCCGGTCCCTGTGACTCAGCGCTCGCAGCAATGCTAGAGCTGCTGCAGCTTAACCTGGGCAAGCGGCGAGCAGCCGCCGATCTGATTTGCTCCTTAGGAGCAGATATAGTTTTAGGCCCAGGAGTTTCCCCAAGCGGTTTTCGCCTACAACCTACAGCTACCATG